TGAGGGGTGGGTGACAACACCACACAGCATGAGATCAGCAGAAATGTGGAAGGGAGAATGCATTTAAGCAGCACGAAGACAGAGGAGGCAAAGCACCTGGCTTACAAGCCATCCCAACAGGCACTGAGCTACACAGCAAGCTGGCTACTCCTGATAGGAGTTTCTGCTCTAAAACAGTTCACGTGCAGACAAAGAAAAAAAGCATAAGTAGGAGCAGCTACACCCTAAAACCAGCTGCTGAATGACTGCAGGCCCTTAGAGGCTTCAGGAACAAGGGGCTTGACATCATTCTGTTCAGTGCTAACACCAGAGGAAGTCGGATCATAGAGGAAAAAAAGAAAGTGAGGCAATAAGCATATAGAACAGAGTTTTGATTGTAATTTCTGCTAGCATAATCACTGATGTGCAGTTCAGGCCATGCCTGGTAAGAATAAATCAATATTACTTTCCCTTGGTGTTTTGTGAATAAATGACTCCAAAAAATACCCTGACCTTGCATCATCAATTTCTGTTTTATGGGAAGTGAGCTGCCATCCTTAGGCAATGGCAAAAGTATGTGAGGTTTTAGAACATCAAGAGAAAAAGAAAGAGTCTGAATAACAATGGACAAAATGTATTAACTGCCTGTCCTGACTTGATTTACTTGAAATACGATAGCCCCAACCCATAAAGAATAATGTTTTTTCCAGGATTTTGGGATGTTCAGATCCGTATCTTCACTTTAGGTTCAGAACATAAAAAGTTCTCACGGGTCCAAATTAGCAAACTATTTCTTCCCATAATAAAAGACTTTAGCATATGAGCCATGTAATTGACAGCTCTTAGCATCTCACTGGGTCAGGCAATGACACACCTACACAGAAAGCTTGCAACATACAGAGATGTAGCAAAACGCACACACTCTGCTAGCGCTAGTCAAACTCTCAAGAATTTACCATAATAAAATGGTGCAACACACTGCATATAATAAAGCCCCAATCCCAGGAATGTGTCTGTGTCTAAGAGATGGTTCCACAAAAATGTCACCTCAATGCTCAGTAGTTGTCACAGAGCTAGTCAGGTGGGGACAGCAGTTATCAGGAAGATACAAAAGTACGGTTCCCCACACCTTGAGAACTCCACATTTGTGGTTCCCACACCCCATCTAAGAAGGATGTTGAAATGCAAAAGACCCAGAGAATCATCACAAGGACAATCTATAGGCATGAAACAATGTCAGTATGGGTAACATTTAAAAAGATGAAGATCCTTAAGACTGCACACCAGAACTGAAGGGGCAGTACAGGATTTGTATTATAGTGATAACAGGATATGATGCTCATGGTCTGTTCTAATCCAAGAACTAGAAGGCATCAAATACTGCTAGCAAGAACCAGGTTCAAGTCACACGTAAGCAGGTCCTTCTTCACACAGGCAAGGCTGGGCCGTGAACCTCCTGACTACAGGATGCTGTAGGTGCTAACAGTTTACTGGAGTTCAGAAAGCAATCAAATTCATGGAAGAGAAGTCCACCAATAGCTGCCACATAATTTCAAAAAAAAAAAACAAAAAAAAAAACCCAAACCAAAACACTACTGTCTGACTTAGGAGTCTCCAAATATTCTGGGAAAGCACCACTGTCTGTGTAAGAACTACTAATTTCTCCCCCAGATTTTTTCCCCAACTAAAGGCCACTGTCAATACAAGATAGAAACCTAGAAAGACCTTGCACTGTAGTGCATCCATTCTTGTGTAGGCATCTTCCCTTTTCATAAATAAAACCCTTCTAAACCTGAGCATCATTTTCAATGCATTTATCCACACGATAATTTCATAATGCTTCACTCACTTCCCCTCTCCCCTGCCTTCCCTCTCTCTCTTTTCAGATTAAAGAAAATCCAGATGGGGTGCAGGTGCTGCAAAATGATACAAAGGTACAACAGAACAAGAGCTGCTTAGACTGAACAAAAGAAACACATTAAAACATGTGCCTGCGCTCCCCTACAGCTGTTGCTTCAATTAAGCCTATTTACAAGGCTGGAGTTTTTCCACAGTTTACGGTATCTTTAAAGTCACGCCAGCGCATAGGCATACTGATTTGCTGTGAACATCCTTTAGATTTACTGTAATTGAGCGCCATTTCTGTAATTCCTATCCCATAGAAAAACTGTGGGCATTGAAAACTCATCTTTAGCAAAGCTCTTTCTCATTTAGGTAGCAAAACCTTCCCTCAATTCAGTAGAACAAGGAGCACAGACTTTGTCAGATCCTCCCTCTCTCCTAAGCAATGAAAATGAACTACAGATCCTTGCTTCCATATAGCTTTTAAATGTAGTTAGTTGTGGGAGCAATTCCCACATTAAAAGTATCCTGGAGAGGGAGACTAGCCAGAAGCCAAGACTTCAGCCCTACTTGACAGTTACTTCTTCCCTTGGCCACATCTCTAGAACAGGTAAGGTTGTGGGAAAGAAAACTGGTGCTCCGAGAGAAAGAGGAGAAAGAAAAGTGAGACCCTCTGGAAGAAATAAGTCAAGAAAAAGTTAGGAGTAAGAGGAAAAAGTTAAGTAAAAAAGGAAAAAGGAGGGGAGAAAAATAAAAAGAGAAAAGGACAAAAAGATCAGACTTGAAAGGAAGAACACCAGGAAAAAAAATAATGAGATATTTTAGCAATTACACGAGGACATATTAATTAACAGTCTATGCAATGACTACTCATTGGCTAATCTACTCCTCAGGGAAAATAAAAAATAAGGCTGGAAACATGCTATAACCAGCACAAGGTTCTCTGTCATCCTCCTTGCGCTCCTGGTTAACCTCCCTACAGGGGTTAGTCACGGTCAGCGCCGGCAGACAGCAGCCTACAGTTGCACAGTTCAGCATTTCCATTCAGTTTAGCTCATTCTCAGGACCCCAGGTAAAGTTTAGTGACATCAGATCCTCAAGATCTCCAGCTTAAAAATTAAGTTTAATCCTTTTTTGAATTATATTGATTAACAGCATAATTAACATTTCTTCTACAAATTTTCCTTACTCCAGCTATATTTTTGATCCAGAAGAAGTACAATCGCCTGGATGCACTCATGAAGTAAACAGCTACAAAAACAACGAGCAAGGCAGCAATAAATTCAAATTCGAAGCGAACAGTGAAATTCAAGAACACAAAAATGAAGTCCAGAAGGATGAGCCAAACAGAACAGAAAATAAAAATCCAGTAAACAGCACAAAAGAAACTCTCTGTAACCATGGAGGCAATGATTTTCAAGCGGATGGCCCTGTGAAGTGTGTTGCAAAGCTCAATGTTGCAGTCAACGGTGGCAACTCCTGTGCTGGAGCGCACCCCATGCTCAATCCCAGCACAAACCCAGTGAAAGAAGCCAGTGAACAGGGAACCTCCAGCCAGTCAGCAGACCCTTCTTCAGCCAGCAATAGAGACTTTTACACCAAATCAAGTAAATCTGGCCAAGAACCTGACCTAGAGGCAGGCAGTCAGAGGAAGGCAGCCTGCAACGAGCTGAACAGTATTCCAGATAGGAACTACCAGTCTGCAGAAGACAGCATCTTTTTCAAAGGAACTGCGATGCTGGAGACAGAAAACAATGCCATAGAACTGCCAGATATTGATTATCCCCAAAACGGTAATCAAACCAGGAACTATGTTGAAAAAGATAGCTTTTCAGTGAACTGTGCACATTCAGATCAAAACAGTGGTCCTTCACCAGTACAGGACCAGCACCTTTGTGTAACTCTGCCGTCACCTATGAAGGAGAGCAGTACTGAACCTTTCCAAACTGACTCTGCAAGTTTGAGTGAGGGAATTACTGGTGGTATCACTGCCACGGCTGTTACCAAAGTAGCACAGGCATGCACACACCCCAAGCATGAAGACATGAATGGACAAATTGAGGAGGAAGACGCTGAAGTTGCAGCAGCTCTGGCTGCACTGGAAGCTGCAACTGCAGGGGAAGACCTGGAAGATGACGAGGAATACTAGGTGAAGGCTTCTTTCTGATGCACTGGCTAAGATCCAGATTTTATTTCTGGATCTGTATGAACACGTGTACAGCACATGTGGACGGCTGTTATGAACAGCATGTATAAAAGCAGTTGGGACTAAACCTCTGTCCCTTCAGCTGTTTTATACAGCCTTTTAATTTCTACTGCCTGGGGTACGGTAGTGCTCCCTTGGCTAATGGCAATACTAACACTGGGGCCAACCAGGAGGGAAAAGCATTATTTCTTCTACACAGGATATTCTGCTGTATACCCACCTCACCTGGACTCATGCAAACACTTCCTTCGGTTTTGACTCTCAGGAGGGTCTGCGCACACTGCATGCTCCAGGTTCAGAAAACTTCCATTGTTTAAAATAGAACTATAGAAGCCATGGAGTTAGAAACCACATATTTCGTCACCTTAGCACAAAAAAATAAAACTGACCCAAAGTTCTATGATCTAATGAAGCATGAAACAGGGAAGGCAGCTTTGCTTGCACTTCACTGCAGTTACGGTTCGATTCCGGATTAAGCCTAAATCTGTGCACGTGCAGCTGGCGTTAGGGCGATAACCTCATATCTTCCCTTACACCTCTCCTCTGGACTTTCTTTGATACCCCAAGTGACCTGCTTCAGTTCATTAGAGCAGCAGAGGCCTAGCCAAATCCAAGACAGTGGGTAACTTTCTGTTGGTTTAATGAACTGTAAGAATGACACACACAGTGTCAGAGGTGCTGGAGGGTAATCAAAACTCAGTCCTACCAGTTCGGATAGATTAAAACTGTTGTAAAACTACAGCCTGAAACATCTCAGCTCTCTAAATTTTCCAGGCACACCTCACTTGCCTTAACAATACAGTTTGCAAACAGGTTGTGTCTCAAACATCCCCAATAAGATGTGTTTTGTTTATATACAAAGAGCAAGAGCCAGTGTGGATCCCTCCCTGGCTCTGCCATAGTCCTTAAATTTACAGCAGGAAAGGAATCGAGCTTCTAAGTTGAATTAAGTGTAAGACCTGAAAATATTAGCTGCATTCCTGGAGCGTTTACTAGTCTGAAGATAAGAGGAAGGGTATGTTAACCTTTGTTGTGGGGGAAAAAAAAAAGGAGGTAGAGACCAACTTGGTACTTTCAATTCATCAAAAATTAGATCTTAATGGTTGAAACAGAAAGTGCTTGACATTTGATACTGAAATTTTGTGGTTTCTGAGTTTCTGTTATAAACTCTTAATAAATTTTTTTAATCGTAAAAAATAATCTGGTGGCTTCTGTGCTTTACGCATTTTGTGATTATATAACAGTTACATAAAAGAAGTACTATAAGATATATCCCTCATTAGATACATGACAAGTACCAACTATGTGTTTGCCAACAGTATATACTGAATCCTAGCTTAACCATTAACGTATGTAAGGATCAGAATATTAGGAGGTGGGGTTTAAGTAATATGTAGATATTTAAAATCTTTCTGTTTATAGGCAGATTCCCTCTTTTCCTCCAAATACTGCAAGATCAGATCAAGATTTCAATGTCTCAAAACATTAATGATACCCCTAAGAGCAATGAAAAAAGCCTGAAGCTTCAGCTTCAAGACAACTATATTCAGCTGCAGATGAAAGTCACGACACTGTATCTGTAAAATAAAAAAGCTTTATATGTTTCTAAAGTACTGTTGATTTCTCTACCACTTTCCTACTTTAACAGGCCCTTCTAAGCATTTTCATAAGTGCATACAAGTTACATGTGCACATTTGTGTATCAAAGATTACTGTAATACGGAATGACAGTAAACAACTACTGGCACATTGCGTATTACTAGTTATGGTTATGAAAGGACATAGCATATGTCTGATTTTATATCATGAGGGCCCTGAGGCCATCACCAGGCCTGACTGTCCCTGCCCACCCCTCAAGGCTCCCCCCGCCCAGCCTGGGGCCCCGGACCCCATG